GTGATAGTCGGACATGACAACCTGTGCAGCCCATGTATTGATTCCATCCGATAGCTGCTATAATAACAAACAAAACGTCTGCCTGCTCTCCACAATGATCAATAACAGCGAACGGATGGTCAAAGTAAGGTACAAATAAACAGAATCACACGAAGCCTGGTTAGTGTTGCCTGACTTTATAAAGTGTGTTTTTTTTTTATAAGTGTGTGGTTGCCTTCTAGTCACTTTGCTCAGCGCTACTGCTTGTAGGCAGGCATGACGAGACTCTTCAGTCGACCCATCCTTTCCTGCACGCCTCGACGTAAGAGAGACGTAAGCGAAGCTCTTGCCTCTAGACCGACAATTTTTTGGAGCTGGAAGTGAACCGCATTCCGGAGCTATGAGGCGGCGCCGTTGCGGTGTGAACAGGAAAAACCGGCGCTTTTCCAGCTCCAGCTCCGAGCCGGAGCTGGAGCTGGAAAAGCGCCGGTGTGAAAGGGGCATCAGAGGGGCGTGGGGAGTGGCTCCTTATTTTCATCTAAAGTAACAGACACAGAATCAGCACTTTTGAAACAGGGCTGAAACAGAGGGGATTATGGGATGCTAGAATAATCTGTTTGGTATTTTGAGGCCAAACACTTCAGAGACATGTTTTGTATATATCTGAGACTTATAATATATTGATGAAAAACAGTATAATAGGGGAACTTTATATCAGCATATATTCAATAAGTATACCCAACTTTTAAATGATGGCTGTAGCCACTCAATCTATACCTGAATCCTTTAGACTCACCTGCTTCTCCCAATCAATTTCTCCCTCTTTGTGATTGATAATTGTGTACATTCAGTGCCAGATTGACATGAATAAAAGTGCAGGGTGAATTTGTGCTGCCAATTCCATTCAATTTGTGTGTAATTACTGTCTGATTTGCCAAGGCAGCAGCAGATGCGTCTTGGATTGACTTCTACGAAAACTCAGTGAATGAAGAAGAATGCAGTCCAGGGCTGGGAAGAGATCACATCGCTTAAAAAAGAGATTGTAAGTAGAAATACTTGTAAAGACTGATCATCAAAACATTTACTGAGGCTTCAGTCCTGCTTTTAAGTACTGTTAAGTGCTCATTACATTGCAACGTAGCCTCAATGCATAGGCATAGTTATATTATTAATAGTATACGAGTCATTAACCAGAAATAGAAATGAGGAACATGAACAAGCAATGAAAAAAGGGATGTAAGATACAAAAAAAGAAAAAAGAAACAGAGCTGAAATGGGACAGAGAAGCTCAGCTCTGAGTGCAACAGGTGAAGACAGGACAGCTTTGATTGATGTCTCAATAGAAAACCGAGGTAAGGGCAGTCGAACGCAACTGATGACTTATCAAAATAATGCAATTACTAGCCTGTTCATGCCGTTCATAAACATGAAGTATAACGAGCCGTTGAGCAGAATACCAACTCCCTATCTCTTTGCTGCTATCCCTGCTCACTGTAAGATATCTGGTTCTGTTTTCTATTGGTTTGAATTCTTGAAAAAAACCTGTGTGCATCCCTGCATGAGACAAAATCCATAAATGGAGAACATTCTTGATAAATCAAAGTAGATGGCCATGTTTAACTGCACACTGTATCAAAACATCTGTTTACAAACTCTCATTAACTCATGCAATATAATCCAAGACTTATGTATCCGGTATTGTGCCGAGAACTTCCTAAAGTAGTAAAGCTTTGTAATGTATACATTACACTTGGATTATACTTCATAAATAGTATACTAAATGTGCAAGATTTGAAACACTTAATTTGAAATAGTTTTTGCTGTTGTAAAATGTGAGTTTAGCTATAATCCATTCCAAATGTTTATTTCTGTTAAATGCAGAGGTATGCATAAAATAAAATCATAATTTAAAGCTAACACAGGGTGAGTAATTAAAAAAAGGTACATTTGCAGGTGAAGTATTTCTTTAATTTATTTAAATGATGTCCCCAGATACAGTGTTTTGTTGTGCACTCATTGTTCCTTTTAATATGTGTGTGATTTGCAGATGCAGAGAATATTATTCAAACTGATTTAAAGGGTGCTAACTCATCATAACTCACAACATCCAATATTTGCAATATTGTCCCTTCTTATATGTTAACATAGTACTAAGTATGAAGAAAAAGCTGACTTGCTAGTCCAATTCAGATAACAGGCCAATTGGCAGACTGGTGAGCCTGTCTGTAAGAAAGTCCAGGATAAATGTGTCCCAAACAAGACACAATATGCATAGTTTCTACACTTTCTGATAAGAAAAAACAGTTCTGTTGTTCTGTAGTGGCAACAGCAGCATGCAAAAGATCAGAGTAAGTGCATATTGCTCTGTGATTTGTTGTGTATATACACTGTGAATATAATTACATTCTGGGATTATTCTTGGGATGAATTTCCTTAGTGGTTAGAGTGGAGCTTAGTGGATGTTTAAACATAATGGAAAAAGAGAAACATTAAAGGATAAATACTGTAAGTAAGTACATGTAATCACTTTGTTCTTGTTTTCACAAATGTTCTTAGAAAAATATCACAGCATTCTCCAACATGCTCACAGGGATGGAAATAAAACATGACGATAAATAATGAATGAAATACAAAAGAAAATAATTTAAGCGTTAGCAAGAAATCTCTTTATTGTTTATGTTTGGATTGTGTAAGACTCATTTCAGAGAGAAGAAAGTGTGTTTTTTTCCTGATGCTTTTGGCAAGGATTTGCAACAAACTGCAAAAAAAGAGAAGCAGCCCATTAAGTGCTAGTGAGCACACTTTTTTTTTTTAAAAGCATCCAGTAATTTATTTCGTAAAACAAACATTACTACACCATACCTTGACTTTTATGTGCTTTCCCACACAATGTAAAAGCAGTGGGAAACAGTTGTGTTAACTTGATAAATCATATTCAAATGCCCATGAGACTTCAAAGCCCTGGCTCTAAATCTCCTCTCTGTCATCTCTCGGTACAGGATGGAAATTGGATAGATATTTTAGTCTCTGACCAGTGCAATGTAGTTGCAATTCTGCAGCCTCGTTTCAGACTGTGTATGAAGTAATTTTAGATAGCAGACAATATTACGAAGGACCAATTATACCTACAAACAATGGGAGATATTTCTGACCAGAACAGGCCGTGATTGTCCGCCGCTTTTATGTAAGTACTAATCCATTTGTTTACATGTACAAGCCCACAGGAAATAAATAGGTTGTTTTCCTGAGCATTTGTTTTTGGAAAAACAGCAAAACTAAGCAGTTGAAAAGCTCAGAAGCTCAATTGTATAAGCTGAGTACCAACGTCTGATATTAAAGAAGCTTATGTGTAGCATAGCTGTTTAAGATTTAACTTGAAGTACATGTAGAAATTCAAAATAGGGAGTATTCAAATACACAATCTGACGGGGGCTGAAAGTCACTGTTGAGAGTTTTGAAGATTTTTAATAAATGCTCAAGTATGGTCTAAGAGATGTAGATGGATGTGTTGACACCATCCAACATCTCACTCATGGTCACCAGAGGATTCATGGTCATCTCTTTGGGCGTCATCTACATGTAATCTAGCAACATCATGAGGTGAACATTGCAGTTGGACCAATACTTTGTTTGGTGAATAAATTCCCACAAATCTTTTCCATCTCATTCCATCGGCCCTAGCTATATTTCTCGAAAAATATGTTTTTTCGTATGCCTCCAAGATGAATGAAAAATCCAAGAAAAGTATTGATGGATTTAAGTACATACTGTAGGGTGCCTTGTTTAACAGTAAAACAAATCAAAATATATGTTTACAACATTTTACATTAAATTATTCAAATGAAAGCCAACACAGATTGAATAACCAATATCAAAATGGTAATTTTGTTGTTGAAGTATTCCTTTTAATTCTGCCTGACTAACTCATTTAAAGTGTCCGTATACAGTATGTTGTAGTGCACTCCTTTTTAACATGCATGTGTTTTACAGAGGCAAATCATTTCCACGCAAAACAGTTAACAAGTTTTGAAGTAGTCAGACAATATTAAACTGACATTTCTTTGTGGAAGCATGTATTTAACTTGTTGAGTTAAGGAGAACAAATAAGTTATTTATGTTAAATTCCTTTTGCCCTCCGGTATAAGATAACATTTTACAGTCAGATGATTCTAAAAGAACAAATGAGTAACACAATTGTACTTCTACTCTAATGTTTACACAACCTGGATATATAATTGCTCGGAAATACATCCATACGTTGTAATTTATAAATGAAACATGTTCCCAATAAGACATCTTGCAAGTTCTCCCTTGTTTCTCTGTGCTACAGGTACATCATAATAGATAGGATGAAGCATACTGCATTGCATACATAGCATCTCCCCAGTTCACCTGAAAGGCTCAACTGGTGCAGGACAGCTTATCTATAGAAAACTGGGGATTTAGGGGAAGCAAAACACTAGCAGACGGCGCTAAGATTCTGCAAATAATAACAATGGCATTGCTGGGGTCTCCCGACAGATGGACACGAAAACAAACCTGGCTGCTACTTCTCCTGGTTGCTAAGCACCACCTGGAAGTAATGAATATGTTGTCGGCCTGAGAGGCATTTGAGACAGCAGGCAAACTCAAAACTGTCTACTCAGACACATTACAGAGTGCAGGTCTGCTGCTTGTCCTTGATATGGGTCGCCTTGGCCTGCAGATATTCTCATGAATATGTATACTTAAACACTGATGGCCCAAACAGAAGAGTCCTTCAACATTAGATTATGAACCAATTCTGAAGAGGCTCTGTAAGTGGGTAGATATTAAAAAATCCATAATGCTTGGATCTGAAGGGTGTTGAAGGTAAAGTCAGTGTCAGGTGCTCATATAGTGTGAATCAGAGCAGGATGGTGTGGAGACATACTATAGAGTTCTTCAGTTGGATTTATATAGAAATCTAAAAGGTCATGTTCTGCCGCTGTAGCTAATGTCTGACAGCTTCCAGTCAGTCTTATTTAAGAAGGATGACTCACCACACATCCTGTGGAGTCCAGTTTCCGGTCGGAGATGCAGCGGAAGTTGCGGCTGCAGCCTCCGTTGTCTTTGGTGCAGTCTCTGACCGGCCCGAAGGAGTCCAGGAGGACTTCCAAGGAGTCGAAGGATGAACTGATCATCAGTTCCTCTCTGTGAAAGCAGAAATGATTGGCAAAAAGAGGTTAATGTCAGGGTGAGCGAAGCAGGCAGGGCCTAAATGCAGGACAGATATAGGGTTTAACAGAAAATACCTTTATTTCAAGGCAACAAGTCTTAACATACAGAGCAGAACCCTCTCCCTAGTGAACATATACAACTTTGACAATCAGACACAGGAGGGCAAACACAGGATGGAGTCCAGACACAGGGAGAACAGACTTTCAAAAATAAAACCGGAAACTAAACACACAAAACTAAAATCATGACAGTTACTGATTTGCAGGGCTGTGCTGGTGGGTCATTGCAGCTAAGAACTGATTTGAGAGTTGCTTCATTTATTCAAGCTTTCTAGGTGGAAGGGAGTCAGCTGGCTGGTATGGTCAGAAGTGTTACATCAATAACAACATCCAACACAATGTCAAAGTGACTGAAACACTGTGGAGTTCCCTTCTACATCAGTGCAGCCAAGGGAGAAGTTAAACCCAAGTTAAACCATAACATCTACATCTAAAAGACTTTCCAACACTTGGTCCATAGATTGTTTTTTAATTGAATGGAACAACTGAAAGTTTTAACACTTTTTAATGATTTTATAACATTTGCTTGCCAGAAATTCTTGTATATGGTGCGAAAGTTCCAAGCATAACAATAATGTTTAACAATAGAAACCATATTTCCAGTTCACATACCACATTTGAACTGGAAATATGGTGGAGTAAAACCGCCTCTTCTAGGACCAAGGTTCCTCTGTTTGGTCCTGACTGAGGTAAAACGGCAGTTTCACACCTACTGTATAATGTTGTCTTGAACCAAGCTGAAAACCAAACAATGTGTAATGTTAACTATCATATAAGCTGTGTTGTACTTGTCATTTTAAAATAACCCTGCTCTGCTGGAGGTTAATCTACTCCACCACAGATGGTTTGAAATCATGTCACAAATATTGAATGTGCAAAGCCAGTCACATTGGCTTAGTTAGCTATTGTGTATGTATCTTATGGAGTGTTCAGTTGCAATCCCTTTACTGTAATTCATAGTTTGGCAGCAATAGAAAAAAGGCCCCACCACCACTAATTGAAATCTAAAACCCTGACACTACAGAAAGTGGAAGGAAGGGTTTGAAAGAGATAATTAGGTTTCTAGACAATTCCTTCATGAACAGTTCCTTTATACCACACATGGTGTATGTTATAATGTACATTCTCCTTAAAGACAGCTAATGATTCTGAGTGAAATTCAGAATGTAATTAGCTGTGCATCACTGTCAGCAATATGCAATTTGCTTTCATCAAAATTGATATGGTATTCCATTTCTTTAGATCACTGTTCATGTGTCTGGGAAGCAGAAAAGAGGAACTGTCACTACACTGCGTCAACATTCTGCTTTTAATGACATTATGTGACACACGGCTCTCTTGTTCTCTTAATGAAGAGATATCTATTCCCATGAATTACAAATACCTTGTTTGAATGTTATGTGCAATCATCAAGAGAAAAGCTTTAACTGCTCAGCCAGGTTGCTATGCAAAGTAGCAGATTCTGAGATAAAAAGCACCATGAAATCCTGATCCAACCTTGCTTTGAGAAGCTGTTTTGGTGGTTTCCCAAAAACTTTTTGAAAGGTCAATAAGCAGATCGTCCAACAAAAAGACTGCAGTACAATTGTTTGGGATTGGTTGAGATGAAAAATAAAGCAGGGGGGACCTTAGTGCTTTCCTACAGAATATAAATCGGTTATTCCTGCAGATGAGTAGTTCTCCTGACGATAAAGAAGAGCTTGTATAATAGCATTGCCATGAACCTTGTCTTGGTAAATAAAACGTTGACCTCTCAGGCATTCACATTTGTTTTCCAACTACCCGTACTCCCTTGCTTCCCATGAGAAAATACAGTGAGTTTCCTCCCCTTTCACAGATGTTATCTTACAAACCAATTTTTCTTTTATAATTGCCCATTGCTTTGTTGTCATTTATTCAGAGGGGACCTATTGAACAGAGCCTCGGCAGATGATGAAACTCACAGCAAGAGTGAATGCTAAATTATTTGGGAACTGCAATTACAGTCAAGGCACATCCACCGATTGTGTGCTACACAATATACCAATAAATATCACACAGAACCAAAACAGCCATATTTGGTGTCTTTTCTTTGAAGCTTTTACAAGACTAATTGCATCTGAAAAGCAAGTCTTATTCTCCTGTTAGATGTAGACAACAATTCAGTCACCTGTATCATTTGCTTTGACAGCAGAGATACATATTTTGGCAGGGGTTATCATGCCTTAACCATAGGGCAATTAGTAGAGACAAACCAGGATATGAGGGGCGAGATAAATGATCATGATAAGTCGCAAAGGGCTCTGGGGTGAACCGTGAACATTGCAGTTCACAGTCTGTCTATTATCTTTCATCTTAGGCGCGTCACTACACTAATTGTGTATTGGACTGTGAGCAATGCAAAAATGCATCTGAGTGGACAGCAGTACTGTGATTGAAGAGATCCAGCTCCATTCTACACTGACAGAGGACTACATATGCTACACTACTGATGGTGAAGATGAGATGTGTGGTGGAAATTCCACACTTAATCACCTTCTGGTAAGAAAAGAACAACTATGCAAGCTTAAACCAAAGTTGTGTTATTTAATAAAGAGTTATAGCATTTAACAGAATCAATATATTATAATATATTGTATATAATTAAATGAGACTTAATGATGCATTTACTACAACAAGATGTACACAACATATCCATATAGACTGGTCCAGATGCCAACTGCATGGACATGCTAGGTGTAACATGGATAACAGTCAGGGAGTCACAAAAAGAAATAGGAATCATGGACTATACGCTCTATTCCAAATGTCTGAACTGCATTTAAGCACAATTAAAAAAAAAAAAATTTAAATACATTTGGCGAGTAATATGAATTCCTCTGATTTCATGCATTTGTATACAACATCTTAACCTGTTCCACTCTGAGCCTGTTTTTCAGGTCTCAGGCTCGAAAATGACATTCCCAGAACAAATGACCATATCTTCCCTTCTAAAAGGGTTAAATTAATAATCTTTTCTCAAAGTAATGATAAACCTGTGAGTTGGATGTAGAAGTGTCAGAATCAATATAAATGTTTTTTATTTTAAAGAAAATTCAGATTTTACATAGTAAAAAACTGTAAATTATAGTGTCCGTCCAAAAATTATTTTTTACAGATAGTGAAAACTACCCTTGGATGATGGGTTAGTAGACTAAAAGCTTTAGGAATCCAAAGTACAACATATAATAAGTACCCTGTATCAAGATTGATGCAAAACAAGTGAAATTTGACCTTTTTAGAGAGATTTAGCCAAAAACTGGGCCATCTGGGGTCATTTGGGTGGATTTGACCTATCTCTGGCCCCCCTTGCTCGATCTGGTTGGTTGACATACCCTTGTGACCGTTAGAGCCAATAGAATCGAAGGAGGAGACTCACATACACATACATTATAAAGAAAAAATGTTGCCGCTTCGCGTGTGGAAAGCGAAACTAAACTGGAGGAATGTCTCCTTCTGGAGTTTGGAAACTAAAACGCAGTTGTATTGCTTATGGATTATCAGAAATAATTTCAAAGAAGGCACAGACACATAGGATGAACCTATGGATTAACTGCAGCATCGTTTTTTTATCGTTTTAATGCCATTGAAGACCACTTTTGACCAAGGTAAGCCATATTTACTGTTTAGCTTCTTAGCTCCACATGTGATGATGTACGCTTTCGTTTAGAGCGTCGCGAATGTTTATCACTGAGTGTTGAGGTGGGCACCGTTAGATTCAGTGTCTCCAGGACACCAAAAAATAGTGTTTGGTTGTGCATCTAGGATAAGTAATAAGGGAGTTATGAGTGAGTTTAAGTGCCTTAGTAGGTCCCGTTTTTTCGATCGAGGCTAATTCAGAGGCTGAGTGCTAGCATTGTGGGGTTTTTTTGAAAAAAAAAATTAAAAAGATCAGTTAGCTGAGTTTCTTCCCGTTACATGGATATAACACATTCATAGTTTTATTCAATATTAAGATTCCTTAGACGTTGTTTCCTGCAAATGACGCGTTTATCCGCCCGGTACCGGGGGGAAGGCGTGAAACAGGTCTCCTATTATGCTATTTTTAGGCATATATTATGGGTCTCAGATATATAAAAATATATAGAAAACATGTCTATGATGTTTTGCTCAAAATACCAAACAGATCATGCATTTTAGACATCCCTCATACCCCTCTATTTCAGCCCTGTTAGAGAAGTGCAGGTTTGGGTCCTTAGCTTGAAAAAAAAAAAGAGGAGGGGGACCTTGTGCCTGCTCAGAATTCTACGAGATACAGCTAAATGCTGCCGTGATTAAACGCCATCATGTTCCAAACCACATCAAGGATTATTTCTGAAACAGTATGGAGCTCAAATGCTTTTTCACTTGTGGGTTTACGACAAGGTGAGTTCCTTTTTTTATTTCCTGCTTTTTTACAAATACTCTCTCCAGTACAGGTTAGCTCTGAGTGTTAGCGATGCTTGCTAATGTAAACAAAGGCCATATTACGTCCAAAACACGTCGGGCATTGTTTCTGATAGCAACGTTTCTGATTGTGCCGTGGGTCCACATTACTGATATAACGTCATATCGGACGCAAATCTGGATCAGCTCCGTTGTACCCCCGTTTTTAGAGAGTTGGGTACGGAGGGTTTTGTTTTCTGACACTTTGTGAGTTCCCTGACACACCGGGGACACATATAAAAGAAACCAAAAAGTGCATTTTGCATGATAGGTCCCCTTTAATGTCGTTTTTCTGTTTAAAGGTATCATGTCTTGGTGCCTACAAACATCCAAATCGGATATGCACCAAACCTAATTTAACCAAATTTGAATCAAAACGTAATGACAGCCGTTTCGTTGTTTTGCCACCTTAGATATAATCTGCTCAAACCACATCCACACAGTCATGATGACGCTGATAAGATGAGTTTTAAGCGTTAAATCTTCATTATAAACTATTAATTGGCTGTGACATTGCATCTATGTGAAATTATCTAATTAGTGACAAACAATTAGTTTATATCTGACCTGACTCGCTATCAGTATCCAATTGCCTTGTAAATTAATCAGAATTAGCTTAATAATGTTCAAGTTTTTAAGGTAAAATGCATTTATGGAAGTGTTAGATTTGTTTTTTTTCATTTTGGAATATTTACTGTTAATTATACTGCCCTAAAATAAATTATATCCATTTGCAACAAGTTATAAACACATTTTAATCAAAAATATAAATAAAATAAATGAAACTTCTATGCATAGACACAATTAAAATGAAATGGCATTAAGCACTATCTGCAATATATTTAACATATTTCTTCTGAGAGCTGTCTGCAGCTGAGGAGGTAATAAGCTTAATATAGGCACCATTAACATGGATGGCAAACAATAAGAGGATTATAAGTACATGTGCATCTAAAAAAAACAGTATAAAGAACCATTAGTTCGACCCATCTGCCATTAAAAAGAACCACTGAAGGATTAAATGCCTCGTTATACCCTGCAATTTACTTGCAGATTTGCATTACTTCAGAAAGACAAGTACAAATTACCGTCAACAAGAGAATTCAAAACATATCCTTCAATGTAAAGGTATTTCTAGTGATGCATGCTTTAAATGGTGTTGATAATCAAATTATGCAAGTACTAGTAGTAATTATTAGAGATGTAAACGTGTTCCCACTCAATTTGCTTGAAGACGCAGTGGTCAAAAGTCATATAAAGTTTCTGATAACTGCATATTATCTAACAACTTAAAACATAGGAAAAGCATAAAAACCGCTAACATGGTTATCAATATACAACCCCAAGGTGATGGGGTTGTATGTTGACTAATAAACGCATTGAGAAAACAAACACTAAAGTTGATTCTTCATTCAGTTCAAACTGCCGTTAAGTCAGCTAATCAAGGGGAGGAAGATCAGGGCTCATTGCTATTTATCCATCTGCTGCGGAGCAAGACGAAGTGACAAATGATCATCAAACACGGGGTAACGCAGCTCATGAGCAGAGCAAATCAGCAGCTATGAGATGCAATCGCTGTGTTTCCTCTTGGCCCCTGGGGGAAGCTGAAGAGAGCGTTCATCAGATCCTAGATCAGAGGGAAATGAGTTATTTACACAGCGTCTTGAAGAAAGCTGCCTAATAAAAATAAAATGTTGCCAAAGAACGGGGAATTGAAATTTGTAAACACGGAGTAGGGGGATGGAAGATTGCAAAACCATGCCCAAAACAGAATTAATTGACAGTAAATGTGATGTAGAGGGGCACACGTACGACTACTACGTATGGTTTTAGAATGAACAGAAACAAATATTATTAGTCTGTTTTGTTACTCTATAATATATCATCATTTTCATTGAATACTTTCCCACTAAAACACTACTTTTTTCAGCTGCTCACCCAGAAGTATTTTAACTTGTTTTAGCACCTACCATATTTACAATGTTGTTTTTAAACTATTCTGTATCTCTTTTATGCATGGTTTTTATGAATCTGTTATTCCATTATGTGTATTTATTGTGTTCCTTTCTGTTGTCTTCTTATTAAGTGTTAATGATGATGTAAAGCACTTTGAATTGCCTTTGTGCCTGAAAATGTGCTATATAAATAAACGTACCTTACCTTACGGAAATCACAATATTGGATTTTTGAAAGAAATAAAACGACTGCTGAGTGGTCTTAGAAACACAGCTCGTGTGTTTGGCCATGGCAAATGAATCCCTTCAGAAGTAATGCGCCCACACAATTGAACACCATGCCAAATTGCGGCCACCTAGGGAGAAAACGATGGCTGCCAAAGGGTAGGCAACGGGGACCGCCACTATACGATGTATAATGGCTGTAAAAAACCTGTAATCATCCCTGCTATAAGCAACATCACATACTTATTTTCATGATTGGCTTTGGAAAACAACTACAAGAAAAGTAACATTTATTCCTGGTCTTCGTATATGTTTTATTTCATTGTATTCTTATTGTAGGACAACTCACGATCTCACTCATCCAAAAAGGTTTGAAATTAGCCCCTGGCAGGGACAAAATGAACTTCTTGAGTGCCTACATGCTAATGAGAAAAATGATGGGGATCATCTGAGTGAGACTAATTTCACCTGACATTATGTTCACAGGGCAAATAACCAGCGGTAAATTAGGGCAGGATCTGACACGGTTGTGCACACTAACTTGTTGACAGGGCATGTTCCAGCATTCACTAAAAGGCAAATCCCACTACTAATTACATTAACGTACCACTTCCCCCAAATAATTCTGTTCACACGGACTTTATGCTACGGCATAATGCTGTCAGACCAGATGCAGTCACGTTTACTCTTTGGTGATTCACGATGCTGTTGAAAAAGTTAAGTTGGATGATAGTGTATAGCTCTGTCTTCCGCTAAGTTATAAATAGAAAGTAGTATACCCAATAACAGCGGAGAAAAACAGAGTATCACAAATTGGACCAGGAATTACATCTTGCCTAAGTCACCTTCAGAGGAAATAATTTGTTTATGAAAAATATGGAACAAGTGGATGTCACTAATATGTATGTGAACGGCTGTTGAAGCCTCACATTTGGAATTTCCATAGTCTTCCCTTTGTTTTTTTCGACCAAGAAGTGACCATGTTTGGATGGAAGTGTTTGGGGGATACGCTTTGCCCTGTTGTATTGTCTATTTTAAAATACATTGGTGTGAAATTAACAGGATAAACATTGTGCTGAATTTAAAAAGACTAGCTATTGAGGCCAAAATGCCTTTAAGAAAATGGTAGGGGATATGATGATGGAAGAGGTGAGATGGTAAAGGTCAGGTTGTTGAGGGCTTTGTAGGTGGTGATGAGTAGTTTAAAGTCTATTCTGTATAAGTAAGTATACTTTTTTACTATTTTGTATAGAATGCATAAAAACAGATTTAACCCTGTAAAGCCCAAATATAGAAAAACATTAGAATTTTTTTTTGTCAGCATCTACCAACAGGCATTTGTGCATGAAAATGCATAAATGAAGCTAAACAGTCAACTGTTTTTCAATTTGTCTGCGTTGTTCCACAAATACTTTTGATTTCTTCCAGCTGAGAGCAGCCTACTTCTTTTTTTAGTGTACTTATTTCAGTGTCACTTTTCCGTAGTTAAAACACTGCATGCTCAAACCCTGATAGGAGGTTTGGAGCTAGGGCACAGCAACAGTTGGCATCTTGGTAGCATTATAGATGAATGGTAAGGGGACCCTTAACAAAGAAAGGCTTTATCTGTTGGAAAATCCAGAGAATATTCAATAGACATGCACAGATCTTTACGAGATATGACGAGGTCTTATTCTGGACCAAAGTTCTGGAGTGCTAGCAAAGCAAAATAGCTAAATAATTATGTTGCTTCTCCAGTGCAGTTCAATACTGCAGCATTGTTTTGGCTGGCTTACGGCTCTCTGCAGCCCAGACACAAACAGAGTCCTTCCACACTGAACAGATATTCATTGGAGGAGTTATGAACCGTTTAACAACCACAATGCTCTTCTTGGCTTTGAAATGCAGAGCAATTCTTTCTTCTCATTCTTGTTTTTTTCTACTCTGGGTTTTCTGTGTCTTTATAATTGATTTTGTGTTGAGTTTTATTACCCTGAATCATGACCGCTAACACTTCGGCATCAACCTCACATGGCTGCTTAACACTCACTGCAACAATTGTAAATCAACACCAAACGATGATTAAGTGAGAATACAAATCAGTGAGACGGTAAGAGAGTATCAGATAGATTCCAGGGGATGATGGATGAAAAAGATGATCGTGAGGAATATTTATTGAAAAACCGATTTGTGCTTTCTTTGTTTTGTGAGGCTTCATCAAAAACCAAACAAAGTGGGCACAGATTCCTTTCTGTGCAGCTTTAGTACAGCTCAGTTTAATGCAACAATCAGCAAGATTCGACCCTGCTTCACAGCCTCATGAAAACCTTTATTTCAGTAGCGGGGGCTTCTGTCATCATGTCTCAGGAATGTCCTCACAGGAAAAGTAAGAGTGGTAAGTGGTACCAGTACATGTCATCTCACCTAACGTCCACCGCGTCCTCCATGACTGTCATGTCCGTCTTGCACTTTGCTGAAGGGTTGATGGCTAGCTCGGCGGGGGGGATGACAAAGCTTTTACTCAACGGCAGCCACATCCCTTCTCCTAAGGTATATGTGAATCTGCAGAGGAAAATAAGGGTGAGTTAGACAGGTAAGGTCACAGGTTTTAGCTCTTGTTTAAAATAATACAAGAAACTAGGGCAACTTAGTATAATGCAACAAAGAAAAAAATCACTGGTATACCTTTTGGAAGAATCACCACATCAAACTTGTTGTGCTGTTTTTAAATGGGGCCCTACTATGCTATCTGGAGTTTTCCCTTTCCTGTACTGTTTTATATAGGTTTGTGTGCATGTAAATGGTCTGCAAATGCTAAAATCCTTAAGTTCATGCCAGAGGGAGTTTCTCTGATCAGGTGGTATCTTTTATGGCAGCCTCTGCCTAAGTGTGAATGGGTGAACACTGCTCGTATGTCAAAATGCATTGAGGGGTGGAAAGACGGGAAACGTAGAAAAGTATATTCAACATTTACAGACAAACCAAACCAAGCCCAATACTTAACCTCCATGGCGTAGGTAAAAAAACTACGACAAAATAAATGTATGCAGTTCCCCTTTACGTAATCAATCTACAAAGGAGTACTTTTCCTGTAGTGCAAAAACCACCACCGTGTGACGTCATCTTATCTACTTGTCAAAGATAAATGTTTTTGCTGCCTCAATGCATTAGAATAATGGCGTTGAGTTGCTTAGAGGGTATGTATATTACCTTTGAGCAAAGTTATCCTTTTTGCATAACTCTTTCTTGAGCAGAAGGACACTGTGTGCTAATGGACGCAATGCATACCAAATGAGAAACCCTGACAAAAAAGGGCCAATAAGAGCTTCCCCTGAGACCAAACAGGCCCATAAATCTGTAAACAACAGATGTCTGGAACAAAAAGCTTTAAAACTATTCTTTAGTCAATGAATATCATCAATCTTTAAACACTTTGCAGATGAAAAGTAATACTTGCGACTTTAAGCCAAACCGAGCACGCTGATTAACATCAAATGCATTATTACTGCTGATAAACTATTCATGAATACTTGGAGCACAAAAGAGTGGAACTTGTTGATTAAAATGGTTAACAACCATTTTGTTATGCAGACTAAACACATTTCCTCCTTCACAATTGTTGGATTTGCATTAAATGAATTGCCAACTGAGCATTAGGAAAGGGCAGTGGATTGTGGGAACTGCATATTTACCAATCACTTTAAGAACAGACAGATTCAACCATTGTGGAAATAGAACACTTAATTACCCAATTACTCCTCCTTTGTTTCAAAGTCAAGTGTCCTGTGGATCAGAGTGCTGCCTTCCTTCCATTTATTATAAAACACGTTTTCCAGCAAGTAATAAGCAGTCCAAACAAATGTAATATTTCCGTATTATAATTTGAAAGGTGTTACCACTTCTCCAATGAGTCACTTCACGAGAAATGAAAACCCCATTGAAGCAGTATGACGTATGACCACACCGTGTGTGACCACAGGACAAATTAGCGGACACAAGCACCACTTCATAATGGACATTTAGGGACTGGTGTGCTGCTTTATGACCTATTTGGTTCACCTGGAGAGAAACTGGAGGAGGATAACACTAAGAGTTCCTGTGAGAAAACTGTTGTCGAGTGGAAAACATGTTTGCAGTCCTTAGAGGAATTCTCCGTGGTTAATATCGTGCGAATGGCAAACACTGTGTGATTGAATGCTGACTTTAAGCACTTTTCTCTTCTTACACGTGATAAATGTGCCTATCCTTGTTTTTTTCTTTGTTATCATTTATTCTCTATACCACTGTGATTCTAATTGCGTAATTGACTCCTGTTATTTTATGGTAATATGTTCTTTGGCAGACAAAATGATGGCTGCATGGCTCTCAGACTGCTTGCTGATATTCAAGGTCTCTTTCCGGCGCCTGAAGCCGACAGTGTTGCTCGGCGAAGTTCAAAGCTAGAGGCTGAACCATTTGAATTAGGATGGATAGCTGGGTTGGAGCAGTCTGAGGACAAAGACATTTTAAACCGCACGCCTGAACAGAGTGAGAAGCAAAAGCCTTCGTGCAAAAAACATCCAAGCAGGGAGGGCAATGTATCTTAGAGATATTAGCACGATGGCAGCCTCCTCCTGTCTGTTCATAACATAAACACAATGCTTACAGTTGCCAGATAAACTCTATGGGTTTCCTTTGTATTGTAAGCAGTATCAACTACTGTCTTTTGTTGTTTTTGCTGCATGGAAAGACTTGTAATGAAGGCAGTAGCACATTTTTGTTATCTGCTCTGTCTCAAGCCAGGAAACAAATCATTTTCGGATAAGATACAGTTATACACATTGTTAGAAACCTCTGGCACACACAAGTGTTCTACTGTTTGTTTCTTTGTGAACTGGCTACCAATGAACATAGCAAAGGCCTTCTTGACAACTATATTTGCTCTTCTTAAGGCATATTTACTAACCCTTACCCATGTCATGAAATACTGTAACTGAGTTAAAACATTACACAAATCTTGAATTATTAAAGATTATACATTTTGTTTTCATTCTTAAAACAGCGTAACAGATTTGTTGCCCCTTGATGGCAGGGGAACGAGGTGTAGAACCACAATGTCATTATTACGTTAAAAAGGTTGACATTAGAAAGGTTTTAGCCAACAGTTGCATATTTACTCTGTAAGCACACATCACTGTTTGCATTTTTGAAGAGTTTTTTTATTGCTACCTGAAAAATAATATATTGAAAAGTCAGTTTTGGGTCTCAACCGCGAATAAACAGTTCAACATTTTGTACAGGGGCTAAATCAGAAAATAGCTAACGAATACAGGAATCAGACAACATATTTGCACACCTTTTTACGTTCACTGCTATTTTATCAGAGAGATCTTTGTCTCGCTGTGTCACATTTTACTTTTTAAATGAACATTGCTGGTGCTTTCCATAATGTACGCAGGTATTTTGTCTCGCCTCGCTGTCCACCAACTACAGTGAGGAGAATCTGGCAGCTAAGTTTTTCACTCTATCTACCAGTTAGTCTCTTAACTGTGCCTGTCTGCTGTTTGGTGCTGGGCACGAAGCGTACAAGAGTCTTTTAGCTTCTTTCTGTTTGTGGAGCATTAGGCAGCCCCCTTTAGGTGTCATTCGATACTAATACCCAGCTACAAGGACAGTGGCTGGACTTGCATGTGTTGGGTCGGCGCTAACACAAGTCCAAAGGGATGTCAACGTTGCTCTGAGTCTGTTTAATACAGGTAACATGTCTATCAACAATGTCAGTTGTGACATGGCCTTCATGTGGACCAAACAGGTCTTTTTTTACTGTTTGAAGATCTATGTCTTTGGCACCCAGCAGCTCACGTTTTCAAGTTACATTCTGTCTTGCCCTTTTCTGTGCATCTTTGGCTGTACTATTAAAAAAAGACAACCAACTTTCCAGTTCTTGTGAGGGTGGGAGGGTGTGGGGGGGGGGGGGATTCTGATTGTTTTCTTATATGTAACAAAAGAGGGGTAGTAGTGCAATTTCCTGTAATAAGAAAACCAGAACCAGGAAATGTGAAAAAGTGTTGTATTGACTGTTAAATCTGCACTCCTTAATATAGAAGAAAAAAAGGAAAAAAAAGGCAAAAAGGCCAAAAAGGTAATCTTAAACGTTGTAGTTTTCTTCTTTGGCCTTATAGCCACGGACCTAACAAAGACTGGATTACGTTGTTTTTTTACTCCTTTTTTAGGAAAAACTGTACCGTTGTCCTATTGCTGAGGACATTCAGACTCACACTTGTGAAAACACTTTCAAAACAATTATTATTGCCCGATAATTAATTGATGTCTTCCAAATTGAATTCTCTTTTCTAATCAATCAAAAAACTCACTGCTCTAAAATTAATCAAAACGTGACGATTATTTGACCTGAGAGGAAATAAAGTGGCTCTTTTCTTTCTTCTATTTGAGCATCTCATTTCCCACTCTATTACACCTCTAAAAAAGAACATAGTTACAGAAGGCGTTCCACAGCCAGAGCTCACCATTCTCCCTTAATCATGAGAGAGAGAGAAATCAAAGCTAGCGTAACCAGAGTTATAACGAGAAGTTTGACTGCGCGATCTTTTGTGCAGCACCATGGAAACATGTAGCGGGATAAAAAAAACAAAGTTCTGTGAAGTTCACCCTTACCTGAAAATGCGATCAGAGGGCTGTTCTCCCATCACAAGATCAAACCCGCGCTGGAAGATGGTGTAAGGCCAGGGACTGACATTGATAAAAGAAGAGATCAGAGGAAGAGACAAAAACAGAGGAGAGAGAATACAACTGTGTGTTAAAATCAAAGAGTGAGAAGTGTTTTTTTCAGTGCACCCATCCTCCTAATATAAACCCTGCTAAAATCACAGGGCCGTGTTTCAGTGTTTCACTTCGAGTCATTCCCGCCTTCCGGAGCCCCCGAAAAATCACAAGCAGCATTACGATGTGTGCTCTGTGTAAACATGCTGATTGACAACAAATGTGTTCTGCAGCAACTGACATGCAATGTGACTTTGGCTCATATCTGTTTACCAGGGGAGGGGACAAGAGAGGATGACAGGATGAGACAGAATGGGAGAAGGGACACAGAGCGGGGGGGGGGGGGGGGGGGTGAGGAAGAGGGTGACAGAGAGAACAGAAACACTCAGAGAGAGAGTAAGAGAGGAACATGGAGGGGAGGAGGCTGATACCAAGAGGCAGAAGTGATAGAGGGAGAATGATGGAGATTAATGGGGAGTGGCAGCTCGGGGACTAAACAGTCTGCAAAGTGAGAGTGTGAGGAGGAGAAGTGACAGGGTCCCGATGTCATTCTGAGCAAACTCCTACACTACAGTAAGCCACAAGAACATCGTGGAAGAGGGAGAGACACCTCCATGCCACAGGCTGTGGTCATTAAACATTTAGGTCACCCCAGGGTGCCCACTCTGTCACACAGAGACAGAGGACACAGGGGGAGCGCCGTGGAAATGAGATACAGAGGGGGCACAGTAGGGTGGACTAACGGAAACATTCAGATGTATACAATAATGATGACCACAAGAATTCTGTGTTTTGAACGTTCAGTGAGGTCGGAATGGGTAACAAAGGAAGTGATATTTAAAATGGTATGCTTTAGTGCTGAGTATTTTGTATTTGTATTTATTTATAGAAGGATCATGCATACAAAAACATTAATCTCAGCAAAGAGAAGAGATGCAATATGCCAGATTATAGCTAATAGCTAATTTCCATCTGTGGTCCTCAGGCAGGTTCATAACAATCAATAAACAAATAATAACATTGCATGATCTCTATCAGTCAAACAATTTTAAAACCTGATTTAAGTACAGCTCAATAAATTAATACATAGTCCACTTGAAATACACTTACATGATCTCGGTCACTCAAATAATTATAAAGCCTGATTTAAATACAGGTTACGAACATAATACTTAGTTTTGTATATTTGTTTTCCCATATCATATTTTACCTGTTTCAATCATCTTTCCTGTGTGTTTTGAGCTTGATAACTCATTTGCTGGCAACTTGGGCAGTGTTGCAGATATTGCAAAGGATATCTAAATAAATCATTACGGGGTCATTTGTTTTCATGTTTACATCTAAATACAGTAAATAATGGTAAAACGGAATACATGACACACTTGAAATGTTATCTGGAATACATTATAATTGTAGAGTGATGAAATAATGAAGAATATAATAATATATAAACTGTTAATCAAAATGTATTTATTGTGCATTTACAGTAAACTTTTCATGAATTACATCTTAATGAACACACTGTTTTCTGTAAATAAATATTGGACAAATAGCGGTGCTTCATCAAAAGATGTAATAACAATCATATAAAATCACATTGGTATCATGGTATCAATAATATGGCACAACCTCTGACACTTAAAAAATGTGCATCTTTTTACAGTATGGTAAGGCAAGGCAAGGCAAGGCAAGGCAAGTTTATTTATATAGCACCTTTCAACACAAGGCAATTCAAAGTGCTTTACAAAAATGGAAGACATTATGAAAATGGCATTTAAAATCAGTCATTAAAAAGAAAAGATAATAAAATAAACATTAAAAGAAAAAATACATGGATAAAAGTTAAAAGTTACAGTGCAGTTTAAGATGTGAATAGTTCAATTAAAAGCAGCGGCAAAAAGAAAAGTCTTCAGCCTGGATTTAAAAGTAGTAAGAGTTGCAGCGGACCTGCAGGTTTCTGGGAGTTTGTTCCAGATATTTGGAGCATAATAACTGAATGCTGCTTTACCATGTTTAGTTTAGTTTAGTTTAGTTGGTAGAATTATTGTGTAGAATTAAACTCATTTCATCATAATCTCGTTATTCTCGCATGGTTTGTGGGATATAAGTGGGAACTCCCCTGTACCTCCACACTACTGTCTTATTGATGTGAGCAGAACTCTCTGGGACACTGGCACCCTGAGTGGTGACCCGGTGTATGGCACTGTGGCTGGGGTGTTAGCCAAATGTCAAGGACTTTTTAAACAAGCATATGTGAACCCAATTAAGCGTTTATATGACTTCCCGGGATGGGGCCTGAAACAGCATTTTTTAATGCCAAGAGGTATCAAGTAATCAGTTGAAATCATTTTTGTAATATAGAGGAAGTGACCTTGCACCCAAAGACATGGGCAGCCCCAAAAGCTTGATAAAGCTCCAACAACTTTACTGACTCACCATCAACCTAAACAGTGATTTAATGGTGGTGCTAAAATACATACAACTGTCTTTTTAGGACTGTGTCGTATAATGGGTTGAAAGGAACTCCAACAGTTTTAAAGTTGCAGTACTTCTCAGACAATTAAAATATTCATTAAATTGCTGGATTACCAGAGTTTACAAATAGATATACAAAGCACAGCATTGTGATGCGTTCAGCCAGGCATTACGATGTAGTTAGTATGGCTTCTTTGAAGGCTTTAAACCTTTAGGTAAGTTTAATTTGTTTGTGAAGCACATTTAATAACAATTCCTTTACGGAGTGCTTTGACCATGACAGAACATAATTAAAGCAATGCTACAGTTTTAACCTAACCTTAACCTACAATAACACTTGTCAAGACATGGAGTACACATTATCACATTACACAAACTAATGATAAAATAAAATTCATTTTAGTATCATTTATAATTAACACCTAATCGTTATCATATTGTTTGTTTACAGTAAAATAACTATTAACTTACATTTAAATAAAGACGTGTTACAGCACTATCTGCACCGGAAAACTCTGTATTTTATGAATAATCTATGTATTTAATTGTGTATGAATATGTGCTTCCTGCAGCTTGTCTGATACAGAAAATGAATTGGCATTGGCAACATCACAGCTCCTTTTGATGAATCGGTTGAACCAAATGGATGGCCTTGTTGGATGTGTAGGAGGATTCCCTTGTTGTAAATGAGTTGTCTACCATTCCCTCTGCTTGATAATGAGCATCATAAAGCATCATGAGGTGATTATTAGAACTTACCCCTGATTGGGCCCCCACTCACTGCGGATGCAGAGGTGCTTATGGACCGGGTCCTTCATGTAGCCGTCAAGGCAGAGGCATGCTCCTGCAGACAGAAAGGCACTGATTCAATCATGTGTTCATTAAAGTCAAGCCTTTTTAATTCATTGGAGAATCCCCTTTGCTCCTCTCCTTTCATTTAACTCCATGAGAGATATCCCAAAGATGATCTTCCTCAGGCAGTTAGAAAACTCTTAATCATCTCTTATTTTTAATGATGTAGTCGTCATTCTTTCAGCTATTTGACATATTCTTTGTCCACATTTATTCCATAGACGCTCACAAAGTTTTCCAGCAGGAGTGCTTTAAAAGGCGCTGTTCTATAAATGTCAATTAATGGCCAATGGCATCAAATGAAAGCTCCCCGCTGTTCACCATGCCAATGAATCGTTTTATGACAGGTTTGATGAGGACACAATGTAGGTGTAAAAGAAACCTTACTGAAAGACTGCAGTCATTCCATAGCTCATTCTGCATGAAAGGTTTTTTTACCTTTTTAGCGAAAAGAGTCAGAACGTATCTTACTTGTTTAGTAATGTCTTGAGCTAATTTCTTGCAACAATGCAAACCGAAGAGCCCCTTTTCCAAATAATGCTACTACGTCTTTAGTCTTATACTTTACTACTATCGAATAAAAGTACAACACGTAAACATTTCTTCGAATTATTGCAGTCAACTCCCAATGTGGTTTAATTCACAGTACTGGTGCTTTGATTCATTTACAATACTTTCATTATTTAAAGAGAAAATGCATTTAAAATTCCTTATTCAGTCCACAATAGAATAGAACATCTGATAACTGTGATTTACATGTTGTAGTGTCAGGGTAACTAACAAGCTAATTTGCTAGCTTAGTTGTTGAATGTCAGTTAGGTTGCATTCACACCAGCCTTGTATAGTCCGGTTGAATCGAACCCTGGTGCATTTCACCGCTTGGTGCGGTTCGTTTGGGTTGGTGTGAACGCAGTCCGAGACCTCTGAAGTGAACTAAACAACTGGACTCTGGTCCGCTTTAAAGAGGTGGTCTCGGACCACTTGCAAGTGAACTCTGGAGCGGTTCATCGCTGGTGTGAACGCAGTCCGCACCAAAACATAGGAAGCGTAGGATTTACGCAACACAAGAACGCGGATGTCTTCAAAATCTTTAGCGAAAGAGTGAAGCATCCTCATTGCGACTGTGATGCGCCGGTGAAGATGGCCGCATCGTCTTTTGGCTCCTCTCCAACTTTGCACCTTTTCGTATTTTGTGCGTATTTATTTTACTTTTGCCGTTTTACTTTTAACATGGTTCGCAACATGCAAGCCGACCGCACCTACTCTGCCATACAATATAGAAAAAACTAAAAGATTCAGAGACAGTTTCTTCCCGCGGGCAGTGAGACTGTTAAACAATTGAACTGCTGAAACAATTTCATAACATTCATCTGCTACTTAGTAATATATATCTAATATCTAATATATATCATTCCAATAACTTGTATATAGACTCGTACTGCACTATTCCACTTTCTTTTTTCTCTCTCACTTTATTTTAGAACTATTTTTCTTTTTGTATTACTTTTACTATCTGTATTATTATGTTGCATTGTTGGAGAAGCCTGTGACCTAAGATTTTCAAAGACATAATTACTCTGTAGCTATGTTAGTTTGAAAATAAAGAACCTTGAACCTTGAAGCAGAATGAAGTGTTGAACAGTGTCGTGTAAAGTAAAAATGATCCGTCAACTATACATAAAAGTCAGAGCCACCTGTCGTCGGTGAAACCTCCTCCTTACTGCAGAACATCTCTCATTATATGTGTTATAATGTTTTTTTTGCACGTTGTCTTATGAGCCTTCAGCTAGAGTCTGTTGATATGCTCTCAGCTCCCCAGATTAACAGCAGTATGAAAATAACCTGCCGATGCTCCATGGCGGAGGCTCTGGTAGAAATTGCCGGGATTTGCGTTTTTACCCCCTTAATGTCTGAACAATTGTTGAACAGCATTTCCGTGCGCATGACTTGTGTTTAAAGTTTATAGTCTGTTTGAGTTTTGCCCGTGTGAACGCAAACCGAACCTTCTGAAAAATGAAACAATGTAACAAACTGTTGTTTGGTGCGCAACAGAGAAGCGGACTATTAGGTTTGAATGCGACCTAAGAAAGCCATCGAAGATGTTGAACTATTGAGGCTGATTACCACTGGCATCTTCACGGCTGGCTAGCATAATACTTGTTAGCTCATCAGCTTTTGAAGAAACAAACCAATCAACTTTTAGTTCTTCAGCATTTCCTATTTATTCAGCTTGATTTATTGAATTGATATGAGACAGCAGAAAGGAGAGGGACTCGGTTTTATGGCAAGTTGGTAATTGTCTGTCTGATATGTCGCACAAAAAACAACTTTCTTCTTGTTAAGAGAAGGAAAGAAAAAATGATGCTCTGACTTTGGAAGGAGCGACAGTTCTCCAATTGGAACTTGTATTTGTAGTTGGTATTGAGAAAATGTGTTACCCTTACAATGCTTTCAGGTTTTGAACTGCAACACATAGTTACACTTACATGAATAACTGTAAATCATCAGACAAAACATCAGATATTGTGAGTGTAATTTGAGTGTTGAAGAAAATAAAAATATATAGATATGGTTCTTCTTGGTCACTTGCTAAAAAGACTACCAGATATCCCAATAGACTATGAATCCTTGTTCCAAATGTTTCAATTTAACAGAGTCCGTTGTTCAGTTATCTGGCTGGATAAGTGCCTCCACTTCTTAAATGGGAATTAATTAAGTTGATGATTTGTCTAATGGACAGATAATTGGCACTGTCCATATTTACTAAAGTAAAGCTTTCTGTGGACTCCCAAAAATCAATCGCAACATGCAACACTGCTCAACTGTGGCTGGCTACAAACAGTGTGATTATCTAAAACTGTTTGTATACCCCAGTTTGAAGACCCCAAGTGGGATTGTTTGATATTAAAGGTCCCCTATTATATTGTTTTTTATCAATATATTATAGTTCTCAGTTATAGTCTGAAGTGTTTGGCATCCCATAAACCCCTCTGTTTCAGCCTTGTTTCAAAAGTGCTGATTCTCTGTCTGTTACTTTAGATGAAAATAAGGTGCTACTCCCAACGCCCCTCTGAGAGATATTTGGTTAAAAGAACACAATAGGCGCTTTCACACCAAGTACCTTTCCCAGGAATAGTTCCCGGAACTTTTCCCCGGAACCTTTATTTCCTGGAACTATCTAGTAAATCGCGTTCACACCGGAATAAGTCCCTGAGGTAGCCGCTGACGTCACTTCTTCTTCTTCTTCTGCTGCTGCTTTGGGTTTACTGGCAGGCCGCAAACAACTTCACGGCGTATACTGCCACCCGAAGTCCCCGGCCGGAAGTCCCCAGAGTTGGGGACTGGCTTCAGTAGAAGCCTTCCGAGTAAATCGCCAGAAGCGCCGACAGCTCCTCATCACTCCACCACTCCCATGTTTTATTTTGTGTTGCCATAAGTTAGTCTCTCTCCGTTGGTGTGCTGGGCTAATGCTAATGGTTACACAAGCCAAAAAATCGTTATGACATCATAAAGTGTCCGAAATCTGATCAGCTCATTTTCAGACAGGTTTTTATATAAATGGATCAGGACAAAAAGTGAGCGAAGATTTTTTCCTGAAACTTCCAGAATCTCTTTACACAGAGGGGACACATGTTTATGTATAAAAGACATGAAAAAGTGGATTTTGCATAATAGGTGACCTTTAAGACTACATATTTCTAAGATTGATATACTAATATCCCTTTAATATTTATAAAAACACTTCTACCTCACCAATGAGACTAAGATTACTGAGTGAGTGGAGGGATATGGATGCTACATGTTGGCATCTTCCTGATGAGTGAATCCTTTTAGCAAAGAACAGAGAAGCATCAGCTTTTTGTCCTGCTATCAGCACCCAGGAGAATTGCCAGCCTTGACTTTGCTCAGTATGAGTGATGGGGCCTCATCTTTGGCTTAGAGGGTTACTCAGGGGTAACATGTACTACATGCTCTGCTCATGCTCAATAGGAAACATGTGAAGGGCACAGGCCCTGGGCTTATACACCACTGCTAATGGAAAAGGTCAACTGTCAGCACCTGACAGGTTAAAGGAAATCATTGTCACTTATTTTCCTGCTCACTTTATTAGAATAATACAAAGAAAATGACAAAAGAAATATCAGATTTGTTTTACATGTTTTGTATTTGATAACACTCACAATCTTTGTGTGATCATCACTTGAGATTGTGTCAAGATCTGAAAGGGTTTTGAATGAGAAACTAGAAGAATAAAAACAAAACAGAAGGATATAGTGAATACTTAAGTGTCTTTTCAAATAAGTAATGATGCTCAAGCTGTAACTATGAGAGCTTACTTGAGTTAACAAAGCAGAGTAATAAAGAGAAAATAAATGCTTTGGAGGAAAGCAAATCTTGTTTATTGCTATTGGGTTTTATTTTCATGTTGAAAAGATTAGGTTTTATTCAAACCAAGAGTTTAGCCACTTGATCCAAACCAAGCACTCCGACGGATAATGGTCCCTATTATAATGTAGAACCATAGAGTGGAAACTGAAACATATTCATATCTATAAGTGGTTGTGGATAGATTTAGTTTTTATTTTCAAAGAACGTTTGGTTAATTTGTTTAAAACCTGTCTGAAGGTCACCATATGTGACCTGCTGCATCGAAATCGTCGCATTGACCCAAAGACACATTTTGAGTTGTATACACTGTTGGAAAGAGGAGAGCTTACTACTAATGATATCAGGATTGTTTTTGTACTCCAAATATTAAGCAAAATATGTCACATTATATAATGACTGTTACCGAGTCATCATTTTGAGAAAAAGGCCTTTAAAGTTTCCTCTTCTCTGGAATCCATCGATCTGATTGATTATTAGCGGAGCAAATGATCAAAATAGTACGGAGGGAAGATATTTTTGTTTGGATTACTGGTCTGGGGGATGTTCGCAAGTGTGTGTGTGTGTGTGTACTAGGGCTGCACGATTTGGGGAAATAATCTAATT